TAGGCTTGCTAATAACGGAGCGCAATTTGTACCCAATGGAATTGCAATAGATTGTTGGAATACCTGGTCTCCAAAAACCACATAGATAGTGTCTATCAGAAACTCAAGCATCTCTTTGATGTCAACTTCATGGTATTTGTGTGTGCAATCAGAATCTGTTTTAACAAAATCATGAGGAGTAAAGAAACAGTCCTGGTTGCACATTCACTGGAACCCGCAATGTATGTTTATTTGTTGGTATTCTTATGAAGTTTCGGAATCCAATATATATATATATATATATATATATATATATATATATATATATATATATATATATATATATATATATATATATATATATATATATATATATAGATAGATATAGAAAGCACAAAGAAATTCACTTTTATATTTGGTTACTATAGTTCAAATTCATTTTGGTTCTTTGGGATATTAAGATATTCAAAACTATCATGTGGAGAATTTATTCCTTAGAAAGGGACCAATGAGTATTAATTGGAATTAAAGTTCTTCTAAAATACAATTCATTTAATGAGCCTTACAAACGAAGACAATGTTATTACCTGCTTTGTCAGCAGGGACCAGTACGTACTGATCATGCAAATTTATCAACTTTTTTTTCACCTGGATTATTGAAAACAGAGGGATAGATGGTTTTCATATAGCTCCTCAATCCTTTAATATGTGATTCTTAACAAGGACAAAGCAATGCAGAGTACATTAGTCCTTAGATATATAGTATTAAGAATATTTCCATAACATGTGCACGCAGTCACTCATCCATCCACACACAAGGAGGATACTATAATCTTCCTGATAGATATCTTGCCTAATACCTCAAATGAAGACAAACCTTGTATTAATAATAGATAAAATTTCTCCTTTTTTGAAGGACAAATCCTCCTCGCATTCACCTTCATAACCATCTAGACACTCCACTTGTACATTCTGAAACACGTAATTCAAATTCATCTTCATCTCATTTCTAGTTAATCATATAAAATATTTTGATTTTTTAGTCTCATAAATTCGAAAGTTAAAGTATATTTTAGAATTAATAATTTTATTTGGACCACTCTAACAAAAGTGTTCTAAATTACGAAACCAAATTTCTTCTTTTTCTTTAATTTTAGTCATTCCAAATACAAAAACCTAACCAAATGATATTTTTGGTCGCATACAAATTTAAAATTATTTAAAACATAATATTTATTATTTGTCTTTCACTCTTAGACATGATCATAATATTGTACTTTTAAAAAAAATTTCATTTTTACTCTTATTGTCGATTTATTCATTTGCAAATTTTAAGGTGAAGACAAAATTTTTCGTTTGGCTTTGCTTTATTTGATAATCTAAACGTGATCGTTTGTTAATCATAATGCATGTAAGAATTAATAACGTAATTTTATATGTGCATTGTCCTAAAGGGGCATAAGCACAGTTTCAACTGATTTTTTATTACCAATGTTAATGTTTGAAATTCCTAATTAAGGCAATTCTAATGATCAGCAAAAATTTGAACATCATTTGTTGTTTTACAAAGAAGAAACCGAACCTCAAATTCTTCATATTTTAAACAAGGGTCATGCCTTTTTTGTTAACATATAGAAAATTATCATATTTTAACAAAACGAGATTAAGCAAATCATTAGAAAATGTCTTGTCGTAATTAGAATTAACTAATTTTCAAATTGAAAATCTGCTTTGATTTTAGCATCTATTTAACATCTATTAGCATATTTAACCAATGTAAGCAAAAACATGGCACAGACCTTGTTTACATAACAAAGGTATGGGGTTCTAAATCTGTCCTGTATTTCGATAAATAAAATTCAAATTTTTGATGATCATTAGAAATACACTGTGCCTTACGTAGATATGCATTTATAAACATAAAAATGGAAAATAAAGGATAGTTGCAAAAACAAACCACATGCAGAAACATGAAATAAAAAAAAGGTTTAATACTCACCTTATGAGTTATTTGCTCCTCATCTTCACTATCATCTTCACTATCATCTTCACTATCATCTTCCTCTTCATTCTTCTCCTCCTCCTCCTCTACTTTGTATTTAGCTGCCTGCATTGTAGATTTACTGCAAGATTTACTGCAACAGCATTAAAAAGCCAAGCTCAACCTCCACTTCTTTTAGATATATATTTTCATACACTGTGCTAAAATTTATATATTAACTTATCACTCTTCATGATTCCTTGAATTTGATAAAAAAATCAATTAGGAATAATAATGCATTTACATGTATTTTGCTTTATTTTTTAAAGATTAGATCAGCTACCATAAAGAACTAAGCATCCTTTATGGACTAGTCACTCCCGCTGTTTGCTCCGTTTCAACTCAGTGTATAAATGGTCTGGCAATATGTAAGAAAAACGTTGGTCAACAATCAAGTCATTGCAGATATATTGCTATTGCTTACAGGAGCATTGTATAGACCATAGGACTCACAAAAAGACGCCTCTAAACGACACCCCTGATATTCTTGTTTCATTAACTTTTTTGTCAATAACTTGCCTAGTTTTTTAAAAAAAAAGTTTGATCGTACGTAGAACATGCTCTTCGGGTATCAAATCAACTTGGAAATATAAAATCTATATGCCAGTGAAAATGCTACATAATTAATGGAAATTGATGAAAGAAAAGTTGAAGTCATCATGTTTATCATAAGGTTTAGTTGCTTGTTTGTCATAAATGTTTATCATTAGTTAATGTCCAAACCTGAAATTGATGTGTCACACTCTATAATGTTTATTTTTTAATTCGAGATCAATTGGAAATACAGCTGTGTAAAATGAGCAAGCACTGTTAATTGATAAAAGCATCGTCGATTATACTCGTATACCGGTATCTAAAATGTTTAATTAAAGGCTACTGCAAGAGACATCTTTCATGTAAAAGTTCTTTTTACAAAAAAAAAAAACTCTTCTTCTTATGGGTACAAACATGTTATAACGGAGCACAATAAGTTTCAATGGTTTTTCCAACAGATTATTAAAAGACCCGATCTCCGAAAACTACACAGACTCAAGCATCAACGTTGTAATACTATTGGGTAAAATCTTATCTATTTTAGCAAAATAATTTTGCAAATAACGAAAGACAAATCATACAAATTTACGACTTTCATTTTTATTGAATCCGCCTGTTTCTCTAATGACAAAAAGTATGGGCTTGATGTTATAATTAAAATTTCTTTTCATAAATAAAAATATCCCCTATATTAAAATAGTAAATGAGATATTTTTTTATTGCTATATAAAGAAAGGTCAAGCGCTTCCACATTAATTTTTTCAACCCTTTTTGTCCGTTGGTTATTGAGAAGATATTCAAAGGAATTTGTTAAATATTTAAATGTAAAAACTCCCTATTGTGGCACCGTTAAAAAGATAAAATAGGATCGTTCAGCCCCTTTTGTTTAAATCATTGAGTAATTAAAGTACTTAATTTCCCGAAGGTACTTACCCTTTAAATTGTTCTTTTGCTTTTTCTTCATCATTTTTCAATTTAGAATAGCCCATTTTTGTGTTGTATTTGATTTGTTTTCTAATCTGAAATAATGGAATGAAAAAAATCATGATGAATTCCCTGTATTATTTACTCGTAATACAAATACTAGTATATCAGTATTAAAAAATTAGAACTGTTTTCAGTGCAGTGGCAGATCCAGGGGAGGGGGTAACGGGGGTTACAACCCCCCACTTTGGATTTCCAAAAAAGAGAGAAAAAGAAGAAAGTCTCATTTTTTGTTGTATTTTTACTATAGTAAATGTTCAGTGAAAGGCTAATTTTGCAATATAATTATTAAGAAATTTGGTTGTGAAAATAAAATGAAACCCCACCCCTTTAAAAAACAGGATTTTTGGGTTCATTTTCCTTTTATATTTTTCAAAAACTTTTAGGTAATTCATGCAAGTATTTTTTCCCAGATTGATCTGAACCCTGTATCCCATTGAGTTATTTAACTACATGCATGTGTAAAAAGTACGTTATAATAATTCTTCCCCTCTTCAACCCCCTCCCCCTTTGAAAAAAATTCTTGATCCGCGCCTCTAGCGTTTAATACGATCATATTAATTATCCAGTGTTATATGTCTGAGCAAAATAATCTTTTTGGACAGTGTTACATGTATAAGACTGAGCAAAATAATCTTTTCAGTGTTACATGTATAAGACTGAGCAAAATAATCTTTTCAGTGTTACATGTATAAGACTGAGCAAAATAATCTTTTAACTCTATTTGATATTGATCAGCAAGTTCTGTTGATTTCGTTACTAGTATGACGGGACCACAATAATACATCAAAGTTTTACTTATATAGGAAAATAATGGGGAAGATTTTACAAAAATGTGATGAAAAGCAACATGGCAATGATTAGTCTTATCAATATGCATGCATCCCGGATAGTGTAAATTAAAGTGTCATCAAATTATGGCGTTAAGCTATGAATGGGGCACTAGATTTTTACAGGGATATATGTAGGAACAAATCTTTTCTTATGATGAACAGAAGGGCTCTGGTTACTCATATTCATAGAAAGCATTCCGAGATATTTGGGATGCATTTTAAATCAAAGCCTCCTTTATGATAACGAAATTATGACTTTCAACTCTTGATATTCTTGCTTCATCGACTTGTTTGTGACTCAATATCTTACCTCGATTTAGTTCAATGAATATGAATAATATTATACTTTCTATATGTCAACAAAAAAAAACAAGCCTTGTTTAAATTAATATGAATTTTAAGTTCTATATCTCCTTTGTAAATCAATAAGTGATGTTCAAATTTTTGCTGATCATTACAATTGCCTTCAATAGAAATTGTAAACATTAAAACTGGTTTTTAAAAAAATCGGTTGAAAATTGTGCCCATGTCCCTTTAAAATCGTTTGAACAACAGTCACTGTGGTGGGTTCCATGGATCTCTTTTTCTTTCCTTCATCAAAATATTTGAGCCTGTGAAATTTCTGCCAAAGTCTTTAATACCTTGCGACGTAAGTTTTTAAGAAAAGTTCCTTTTTTCCCATCTTTGTTTTCTGCCTCCAACAAATCATCCTCTCTAATATAAAAAAAATTAAGGTACTCTAACTTCATTATTCAAAACTATTGAAAACTGTATGTATAAACTTAACATTAGCATCTCAGATTACATGTACGAAGTTATTCTAAGAAATTCGTTGATATCTATTCTTGATCATTACTCCGTGATGACACGTGTACAAACCTTGAATTGAAATTGGTTAATTTTTCTCCTTTTTTGAATAACAGTTCTTCATATTCCCCTTCAACCTCCAGTCCCTCCAACTGAAAACAACACAGAATTTAAATCTTCACATTTTTTCAGCCAGCCTTTTTGAAAATATTTTAAACTTTCTTCTAATAAATCACTATTTTATACAATATACAAAAATACTTATTAAATTATTTCTATTTAATCATTCAAATCAAAACGTACCTTAGTTTTACAAATGATAATAAAGCAATGCTAGAATGAACAACAGCAAAGCAAGCTATATACAAACCAAGTGCTGGGATTGACGACATTGTGACGGGCCATCTATTTGACACACCAAGCTCCAAGACCATAAACTGGGAACAAACTTAAGACAAAATTTAGATTTATAATATCTTGGGTTTTATTTAATGCATTTGTTTAAAAATTCGCAATGTTGTATAACATTTTAATTTAAACATATAATGAACAGTTTGTTTGATTAACAAAATTATTTCATAAGTTGGTTTGAAAGTTTGACTTAAGTCTATTCTCAGTATATGGTCTTGGGGCCAAAACCACAGAGGCAATCAATAGGGACAGATAATACCAAGACAGGCCATATAATCAAGCCAGCCATGTATGACGGAACCACTTCCTGGCTTGACTACAAATCGCATTTTGAGGCTTGTGCTGGTGTAAAGGGCTGGACAGAAGATAAGAAGGGTCTTTACCTAGCTGTATCATAACAGCTGCAGATCTATAGCTCTCTGCATGGTTGAAAAAAATTCGGATAGGACAGATCCGAATTTTTTTCAACCAGAGAGCTACAGATCTGCAGCTTAGTCAATACCAGAGTTAGGTCAGGCCATTAGATGACTAACAAATTTGGCCTAACCATCAGCACCTGGTAATGTGCGAGAAACTCTGGCCATAGATGCGTTTATTGATTCAGAGATGAGAATCCGCCTCAAACAATCTCGACCTCAAAACCTGAATGAAGCCATCCGGCTAGCCGTTGAACTCGAAACTTATAATCGAGCAGAGAGCAGAAACCTAGAAACAAAAGGCCGTTTACGAGTATCGGCAGCAGAACACTCATCTTCAGAGGTTAGCCAGACCAGTCTTGAGACATGGATGAAGTCCATGGAGGCTAACATAAATACGTTAACCAACGAGATACAAAAGCTGAAGCTGAATCGGTCAGTCAGGAAAACCTATGACAAACAAGCAAGAGACAAACCATTGCGTTGTTATGAATGTAACAAGGAAGGCTATGGCACGCCGATTGGTTCAAAAGTATTTTCTGCACAACGATCAAGATTTTATACACGAGCTAGATGAAAAAATTACACGAGTAAAATAAAAATTGCACATATACTGAAAGGAAAAAGAAACGCATAAGAACATAATATGGGAAATTTTTTTTAAATATGTGGCCGAAAATTATGAAAATTGGTCAGATGTGTATTTTGGCTACTTTTCACTAAAATCGCTAATCAAAACTACTCAACCATGAAATGTATGGCGTCACGTAGGGGAAATGATAAAAAGTCAAAAACACGTGCATGTTGATGAGGATTATTTTGTGATAAAATTTTGTAGTGCCATACGATGCATTAGAGTTATAGACATCGTTTTTGCATATTTCAGTCAGTATAAATTTCTTGCAATCGTGGTATGGCTGACGGAAGCTACTGTGGGTTTAGAAATTGAATTCAATATTGCATAAGTGAATAAAAAGGCAAAAACATGCTGCTGTACAGATTGTTTTCAACTTTTCAACCAAATAAAAGTTTTTCTGGTTGTCAGAGAGTTAACTTAAAATGTTTCCAACCAACCATGACGATGACGTTGGCGCGTAACAACGTCACAACAAGATAGGGCTTTTCATCATGCCATATCGGTTATTGTCAAGGCATTATCATTGAAACAGATATTTATACAGCAGACAATCATACTGATCTTTTTTCACCCTAAACTGACAGAAACTCTCTGCTCTAATTTGGGCCGCGAGCTTGGCTACTTTACGTCGATTTTACTACCAAACGCGCTCGTACGCGTCGTTTGCGTGATTTTTAATTTTTTAGCATGCTTACACTGGAAAAATGTAGCTAGTGTTTGTCGAGACTTTTTTACAAATTTAACATTCACATGTACCAAACCTGCTGGGTTCTGTTCATTCTATCCTAAATCGAAAATTCTTGGGATTCGATTGGGCGGGGGGATTGTTGGCTTTGGAATAATACAGCTAATCTCAGCTATTAAGACTACCGTCGGAAGGGTTGAATAATAATGCTATGAAAAAGATAAATGTTCTGGTGAACTCAATGCACAGGAAAATCAAGTTTGTTACTGATGCGAAAGGGAGATTATGAGAATTTTTAGTTTTATTTTTGGGGGCTGTCGACATATTGATATCAATATCTCAGGAATTATCAGTCAAAATCACACAAAAGTTTGGCAACTTGTTGATTAAAGATGAATTAAAATGTTTGATAACAATGCTGGAAAACATATTTGAAATAATTGTTTTAATTTAACTCAAAAGTTTAATATGCGTTTCTTTATCATTTCAGTATAGTTTGAAAGATTTTAACACAAACAAAATAAAAAATACACGAATCCGACATTTTTTGCACGATTTAGGGGTATAATATGCACAAACAAAAATCAAAAATTGCACGAGCAGAGGAAACTAATATTTACACAAACAATTTTACTGCGCATACAGCTGCGCATATCATTATTACGCACATAGAATATTCATTGTGTTTAGTTTGAAAACCTTGCACAGAGATTTCAAAAGATATTGCTATATAGAGGAATGAAACAAAAAATCTAACAATTAAACACACAACTGATCATATACAGTTTATATGCACCCCCTTTTAACGTTATCTATATTTTAATCGGGGATGTTAATTTATATGCATATTGTGTGCCTGTCAATTTTTACATGCATATAACACGTTAGGCATATTCTTGAGAGTCTAGCGTAATTCTGAAAGACTGAATCTTTTTTTAAAAGATTAAAATTATGTTAACACATTATTCATCCTCTTGTTTTATAACGTTTCAAGCATCCAAGCCACACTGGTCTTGTTCTCTAATGAATATTAATGAAATGTGCGCAATGAGGATGCATCGTATATATTATGTCGATGTTGTATTCTCACTTGTGCGGTTTTCGTTTTTATGTTTGTGTAATTTTCTTGTTATATCGTGTAAATATTTTGTTGATTGTGTAGTTTTGTATAGTTTGTGTAAATTTCAATAACTTTGTGTGTATTTTCCGCACTTTTTGTAAGTTTTGATTCACTCGTGTAATTTTTGTATAAGGTCATGCAGAAAATACTTTTGAACCAATCGGCGTGCCATAGCCTTCCTTGTTACATTCATAACAACGCAATGGTTTGTCTCTTGCTTGTTTGTCATAGGTTTTCCTAACAAAAGAGCTTGCTTGTTTGTCATATGTTTTCCAAACAAAAGAGAGCATCTGCCACATGTCGTGGACTATTCCAGTTTAATTAATTAAGGTCATGCCATTTGGCTATGTTGTGCTCCTGCAAAATTTGAGTGCCTAATGGAAAGGCCTTCACTGGAATATCTGTCTTGTTTACCTGGATGACTGTGATAGTGTCCTGTCCACAAGTACCTGTGATTATAACGTATAAGGCCATTTTCTAAACGTGAAAAAAACGTACAATCTGCTTGCATAGAACGACATACGTATATTTTTTTTTTTAGATATTTTAATTTTATGCTCTTACAAATTTTTTTCAATTTAAAAAAAGGTGGTATCGATCCATACTTCAGGCGCCTGTGTTTTTAACCCCCTATTATATATTTACTTGGGCATTAAAATGCAAGCGAGTTTCAGTGATGCCTGTGATAAAAAAATCTAGAAAGAAATATTTTTTATCCATGGATTATATATTTGCTACATAGTTACTAGTGATAAAATCGGGATGTCTCTGTTTCCAAATGAGTACATAAACAATATTCATTTTGTATACATCTATCCAAAATACTTTTTATTAACAGTATTCTATTTTAAAGAACCCCCCTGGAGAAATCTTTTATTTCATATTTCTTTTCTTAATTTTCTATATACATGTAGTAACATGCTCTTAATACAGAACGTAATCTAGAAAAAACTAAAATCCGGGACAGTCAAGAGGACTAGATTTACTGTTTGCCCAGATTACATGAAGAACTGGAGGCTAACATAAATACGTTAACCACTCTGTTCAAAAGCTACCTCACATATAAAAATACATTTGTTAAGTAGAGAACAGAGTGGATAACAGAGTGTCCCTGTGCATGAAGTTTGAACAGAACAGAACATTTTATTTCTAATTTAGAGCCCATAACAGACAAGTATGAGATTGTTACTATAATAAGGAAAAGATAAGCCAATGAATAGCAAAACAATTATACAATTAGTAATGAACAAGATGTGCATTATGTTGTTAACAATAGTCCAATCCACACTTTGCAAAAGTTGTTTCCCTTTGCGGGGTCAACCAAAAGGTCAAAAGGGAAAGAAACGTCATTTCTCCTCTTTATGCTACCAAATATTTGGGCGTGCTGTGAAAAATCAATTGTGTTTATTTTTTTTTTCTTTCAATGTGTGGGTAGCCCCATCATGGGGCAATCAGTACACAAAAGGCAGAGTTTTTTTTAAAGTCAAATGACGAAGTTACAAACACTACAAAGGCTACTGTGTGGATTGTATGGGATTATCCCCTAAGATGGCGGCCAAGGGACATAACTTTTTAAAAGTAGGGATCGGTCCACAGGCGGTACCCCGTATACGAAACAAGTGCCTGTGCCTGTGGATCGGCCTATAAAACTGCGTGAGTGGTTGGTGATTTTATTTACCAGTTGCTTTCGATCGTCAACTTCTTTTTTGTGCTTAGCCAAAGGCCAAAGTTTGTCCTCCATTTAAATGTCCTCCAATTCTATCAAGTTTTTCACATGTCATCATTACAGTATACCGGTATCATGTTTTACTCGAACTGTAACCATTCAGCCATTTGTAAACAATGCGAAAATAAGGTTTAAATCAAATACGATCTCTTTCCGGAATGTACTCTTAAAACCATAAAATAAATGTTATTTATACATTAACTACAAAAGGTAATAGAGGACTGTTTTCCCTATCTAAAAATTGGTTAATATAGACAATAATTATTTTACCATTTTTAAATGTCCGTTTTTAAAATATCTACGTAGAAGTCTACAATTAGACACCGTCCACCTGTTTCCTGTTTCATTTATGTAACTTGAGTTTAGTTTGAGTCGGTTCTCCTTCGTAAATTTCAGTCTGGTAATGTATTTTGATATTCTTAACTTAAAGATGTGAAATATTTCGTAATCCTATAGACTTACCTAAATGTAAAATATCCCGTAATGATAACCATTGAGACGATTGACCTTATTGTAGTGTAATGACCTCAAAATAGCTATAGTCCAAGTATAGCGTTACATGTATATACAGTAGTTAATAGGTCCACTTCAAAGAGCATTTCTACCTATGTTAATTATATATTCCTACATATGTTAATTATGGTCAGCAACTTATAACTACCTCTAAATGTAGGTATTTAAATTTACTCCGGGTAGCTATTTTAACCTACGTTTTGTAAGTGTAACATGTGTAATATTTACATTTTGTGTGGAACAGCGCCATATTTGAATACTTTGTGATACAGTCACACTGATCACAGGGACTTGCTCTATATCTTTAAAAAAAAAACTACAAACGAATATACTATAAACTACACAAGGGAACATTCCTCGCACCTCAATGTTTTCTCTTGCTTGTTTGTCATATTTTACTGTATTTTATTACTCACTGCCGTGTCTGTTAAATAATGATCATCCATTTGGCTAAAACCTTATGCTTAAATTTCCCCCTTGGAGCCTCTGCAATACACATTTCAGACTAAAAATAATCCAAACGCGCTCGTTAAAATGGATTGAAGCCCGCCGAGGATTGCCGAATGATCCAATTCGTATTTGAATGTAAAACGCCGAGGTTACTTTCGCTTTCTGTCCATACCAACTGTCCTAACGAGCGCGTTTGGATTATTTTTAGTCTGAAATGTTTTGCATCAAAAATTTAAGCATAAGGTTTTAGAAGAATCATTATTTAACAAATTTAAGTAAAATACGGTAAAATATAACGAAAATAGAGGTTTTTATAAGGGGGCCAATTTTAATGGCGTCCTCCCTAAATGTGTAGTTTATAGTATATCGTTTGTTTTTTTTTTCTATAAAGTATTTTTAACAGCCAGGAGCAAGACCCTGTGCACTGATGATGAATACAACAAAAATTGGACAAAAAATGATCAACTTGAAACATATAAATTTTTCATCAAAAACTATATTTAACTTTATTTTCTGATAAGGATAAGAACAAAGTCAGAAATGTCTTTAAAATCTGTATCAATTATTTTTAAAGTTATCTTCAAGCATTTTAGATAAAATGTTTGGTTTTTTTTTTTTTTTTTTTTTTTGTCATTTCAATGCATTTCTCACTAATACATATAAATAATCATACATATTCTAATCTATTCTCACTCCTGAACTAGCACCATTATGGAGCATTTAAAAGCATTTGTTGTTAAGCTCATTAATAATAATAAAATGGATATAATGATGCTTGTACATATCTGTAAATATTCAGCAAGAGACTGATTTATAAATAATTTTTCATTTACCTGCAAGGGGACTCTGTGATGTTAATTTTATTACAGTGTATAAAAAGGTCTTCTGTTTAAAGTTATGAAGAAATAGTTAAAATATTTTTACAGGAATGACAAATTTTGCATGGTCTGCACAAAGAGTTTTGACATGGTCTACTATATAATTTTAATTTTAAGTGACCCATATTTTTGACTGCCACCAACATTTACAGGATGCCTGTATTTGTATTTTAGTGATCACAATTTATTTATATATATACCTGAGTGATATTTATATAATAGTTGTTGCATTATGCATGTACTATGCCTAAATAGTAGGCAGGGTTTGACACATGGTGCACGAGCCGGAGGCGAGTGCACTATGTGTCAAACCCTGCCTACTATTTAGGCATAGTACATGCATAATGCAACACTATTGTTATTATTATGCTGACTGTTGTTATTATTTATGCAGCAATCCATTTGATTTTTTCCTGAAAATAATGGTGATAACACAGCGCACTTGCAAAAACTCATTCAAAATCTTCATGCTAAAATTAGTTGCATGCTTATTATTTTGGTTACTAGTATTTTCTCTAAATAAGTAAGAATTTTCTGTCCCAAAGATTCATCTTTATTTTCTGTTTTGTTAGTAAGACTGATTTGTTTACAGACGTGGATTCTCATTGATAATTTTCTTTTACATCCTTTAATCAAGCGCTATATAAAAAAGCGTTTTAAAACCCCACAATTCATCTAACGATCTGTATGTAATTAGTTTGAAACTTTGTTGTACACATTTATCTAAGATTCCTTAGAATATAACTGTTTTCAAATAATATTTGTCTATTTTCTCCTTCTTGTGTCAATTGTATAAATTAAGTTCATATATTTAATAAAATTCTCTCAATCAGTGATCGTCTCTGTGGCGTAATCGATAAGGCATCGGATAATCTCATGGTCGTGATTCGATTCCCGGTGAGTGCATTGAAGAATTTTATTTTTACAGAAAATAAGGCCGTGCTCTATTTCGGCATAGTATGCTTACGCTATATATAATCCTTAGTCTACTATGCGAGAATAGTAGGGTATGGGTTATATAGATCACAAACTGACAGGAAGCATAATAATGACTGACATAGATTATATTTGCTATATTTGTAGGAATTTGACCATGTGACTTATTGATGTGAGACCAGTAGAGATACACAATGGACCAATAACTGACCATAGAGAATGGTAGTCACTCTTGTGTCCCGCAGGATCTGTCAGCTTTGGCAATGTAGATTATCCGCTGGGACATATATCTCATCTAAAAGGTCAGTTTCTATCCTTTTGTTTTAAAATGATTTTGATTAAGTGATCTTTGAACACTAGCATAAAGAGATTTTAAATCATATTAAGTGCATGAATTATATTTATTTACAGTTTTTTTTCGAGGACCAAGGGCAAGACACATTATGAAATTCTTGGGGTTAAGCAAGATGCAACAGATGAAGAAATCAAAGCAGCCTTTATAAAACTCTCTAAAAAGGTATTTTTGAAAATTTGCATTGCCAATTGTTTTTCAGATTGAAATAACCATACCATAAGGTCTTACATCCTTATCTAGAAGTTTTTTCTTCCTTATTTGGTGTCATGATGTCATTTAGCTAAAGCAGAATCTCATCATTTCAGGAAAAAATGTATGATGGCAAAAGACAATGTAAAAGAAAAATTAAATATTTAAGTCCTTCTGTGTACAAATTCTTATATTTGATATGGTTTTACAAAGTATGGCTTACAGTTACTGTGAAAGTGTGAAATCAAAACACAAATGATATTGAAATTAAGTGAGATTGATAACAAGTTGGGATGTCTAATAAGCAGATTTGCACTTGAATAAATGGTTTATCAAAATGCAAAAATAATAATTTATAATGCACTGTATCATATCAATTGGAATGTAATAAGAATTCCAAATTTTTTGTTCAAGATGTGTAATGTGACATGTAATGTGCCTGTCATTAATTCCTGCACCTCAGCTTTTTTTTGGACTTTTTTTTAGTATCACCCTGACACGTCATCAGAACCGAATGCCCAGGAGAAGTTTATAGCTGTCACCGAGGCGTACGGAACACTCAGTAAACCGCTGAGTAGGAGAGACTACGACTTAAGACTCAAGTATGGCCCCGAGCACCTGGAAAAGAAAAAACGGGTGGAACAACATCATCGTGAACAACAACAACACGAGAACGCGTCGTGGAGAGACAAACATTACTGGTGAGTTCTGGCTCTCTTTATTCACTCTTATTTTGTTATTATTTGTAGGTTTTTGGAAACAGAGTCATTTAAAGGATTTATCCACCTTTTATTTAACAATAAAATGAACATACCTTAAGCTCAGCTTTTTATTGTTGTCGAACAGCATTTTATTGTAGTCGAATTTAGCAAATATTCCCAAGTCCAGACGAACGCTAATAATTTCCAGTAGAGGAGAGCAAACAAGAGTTGTCTTTCTTTGTTAATTTGGTGTAATGGCTTCTATAGGCAGAGAACTAAGGAGGAGGATCAACAGTTCAGGAAGTGGTATTATAAGGAGTTTGGGATGGGCAGCCCTCACTCCCCTAATGTCCTTGACCCCTTCTTCTTCATGTCCGGTAAACAGGCCGTTATATTGGCGATAACGCTAGGGATCTGTCTACAGTACGCCAGATACAGGTACAGCAACAGAATCTATTTTTAGGATTAACTCAGTTTATTGTACATCAGTCTCTAATTGGAAGAAAATGTTTGAATGAAAGGAAAAAATATAGGACTATTTTTGAAGGTTTTAATTCACAGGAAGAATTAAAGGTGCTATGGGTATGTGTAATGTTGATGTAGTTCATTTGAAATCTGTTAATTATTTTCAGATGGCTGAGAAATCGAATGGAGTTATCAGATGCAGAAAACATGAATAGACTGAAGAAAATGGATGAGGAAAAACAACTAAGGCAAGAGTGGTAAGTGATTAAAGCTAAAACAGGAAATGCTCAGAGTAAGAGCTTACAGCTGGAGTGAGACATGCTCATGACTAGAGTGACAGATGCTCACTGCCAGAGTCTAAGAGCTTACAGCTGGAGTGAGGCATGCTCATGACTAGAGTGACAGATGCTCACTGCCAGAGTAAGAGCTTACAGCTGGAGTGAGACATGCTCATGACTAGAGTGACAGATGCTCACTGCTAGTAAGAGCTTACAGCTGGAGTGAGACATGCTCATGACTAGAGTGACAGATGCTCACTGCTAGAGTCTAAGAGCTTACAGCTGGAGTGAGACATGCTCATGACTAGAGTGACAGATGCTCACTGCTAGAGTGTAAGAGCTTACAGCTGGAGTGGAAATTCTCATGGCTAGAGTGTAAATGCTTACAGCTGGAGTGAGAAATGCTCATGACTAGAGTGACAGATGCTCACTGCTAGAGTGTAATAGCTTACAGCTGGAGTGGGAAATGCTCATGACTAGAGTGTAAATGCTTATAGCTGGAGTGAGAAATGCTCATGACTAGAGTGACAGATGCTCACTGCTAGAGTCTGAGAGCTTACAGCTGGATTGAGAAATGCTCATGACTAGAGTGACAGATGCTCACTGCTAGAGTCTAAGAGCTTACAGCTGGAGTGGAAATTCTCGTGGCTAGAGTGTAAATGCTTACAACTGGAGTGAGAAATGCTCATGACTAGAGTGGTAAGTGTTCTAGAATGGTTAGTAAGATAGAGTGGTAGGTTAGGTTGACTACAGTGTTAGGTTCTCATGACTACAGTGGTAGGTGCTCATGACTAGAGTGGTAGGTACTGATGACTACAGTGGTAGGTTCTCATGACTACAGTGGTAGGTGCTCATGACTAGAGTGGTAGGTACTGATGACTACAGTGTTAGGTAACAGTGGTCGGTTCTCATGGCTACAGTGGTCGGTTCTCATGACTACATTGGTCGGTTCTCATGACTACAGTGGTATGTGCTCTTGACTAGAGTGGTAGGTACTGATGACTAAAGTGCTAGGTGCTCATGGCTACAGTGGTAGGTACTCATTACTAGTGTGGTAGGTACTGATGACTAGTGTTAGGTAACAGTGGTCGGTTCTCATGGCTACAGTGGTACCGGTATGTTCTCATGACTACAGTGGTTGGTTCTCATGACTACAGTAGTAGGTGCTCGTGACTACAGTGGTAGGTACTGATGAGTACAGTGGTAGGTTCTCGTGACTACAATGGTTGGTTCTCATGACTATGTTATATATAATACTTGTTTATCTGAGCTGGTCATCTTGCTACAAAGCATTTTGTACTTGTAATTTGATGGGTCTAAGTTAAAACTTGTATTTTCTGCATCCATTTGCAAATTGTAAGTGTTGGAATGGTTTTTCCTCAAACAGTTCCATTATTAAGACTGGAAATGTAAATTCAGTGAATAGGGTAGCTTGTATTTGAAAGCATGCAAAAAAAACCCCATTATTATCACATTGTCTTTTTAATGAAATTAAACAAAAAAAAATTGAGGAGGTAAATGCAGACATTTGATTTTTAGCTCACTAAACCAAAGTAGGGGGAGCTTATATAATACCCTCTGCATGAGCGTCAAATTATGCACATTTCCAGAGGTTTCAGATACTGGATCTGACCTACATTTTCTAGATGATCTAGGTGACTGACAGGTAAAGTAGTTGGAGCAGACTTATTCCAGTGTAACTTCAGGTCTTATGTAGACCAAACTTGCATGGATGATTCATCAAGGGATGAATACTTGAAAACTTGCTTCAGATTTGAATAAAGTTTTTAGATCAGATTCATTTCCAAGTAACCATGAGCCTTATTCAGGGATTAATCTAGGTTTGGAGGTAACACTTCTGGAAAAATTGGGAAAATCAGTCGGGGGTCTTGGGCCCATTGCAAACCTCAAGCAGATGAAGATTTTTACTGTAATTTTCCAGATTTTATGAGGGAAAAAAAGTTGATGTAGCTTTTTATTATTATTGTAAGAGGGATTTTTTACTCATCAAAAGGGGAAAATGGGATATTCAGGGGAAATTTTCTCTTTGGGAAAAATACTGAATATAGGTAGTAAATATGTCCTCAATAAATCTCTGATTATTAGAGCATAATTACATAAATGTTGCATCTAGGAATGCACACTACTGTATCATTAGTTAAGTTTGGGGCTTCTTTTGTTAAAGTGAGCTCTGCAACCAGTGATTACCTGTTTGTAAGTAAAGGAATAATATTTCAGATGACTTTGAACAATTTTAAAAATACAAAGTGAAGCTCTCCTAGTGAAGAGTTTATATGATTTATTTAGGGTGTTGTATATGTGTGTTGTTTATGAAAGAAGATGAATTGAAAAAAAAAAAAATCTTTTGAGACTAAATCTTATTAACGTGCTTATAAAATTAATCCACTTTTAACCCCCTGAAGTCTGTATGTCTAAACAAACATGATGTATCAGCCATAAATTTAATAAACTGCTTGAATTGCCTGACATTCATATCATGTATTGTTTTTAATCATTGCAGCAAATCATCTTACAGGGAATAAGTTTTATTAATCCATTTTGCATATTTCAGAATTCTTGTTTTAACCTTGAAGCTTGTGATTGTTGATCTCATTGCATGTAGTATACACAAATATCCCCCCAGACCCTGCTTATAAGCCAGAGTTTGCATTAATAACATCAAGTGACTCCACAAGTCTTAAATCTTAACTATATTTGAATATTGTAATGGCTAAATTTGCACAAATTGACCAAAAACATTTGTTACTAATTCTCCATTAATTTGAAATAAGTGATTCAAGATTTATTTTAGAAATGTACACAAATTTCCCATTTGCTGATATATTTATGTTTGTTTACTATTTTGCATAATTATTCAAGAAAGAACTGTAGATTGAAAATAAGATAAATTTTTGTCTTAATTAGATTGAAGTCTGTTACTGTTCTATACTGATCTGATTTGATGAAGCTATAAGTTGATTAAGTACTGAGGAATATTATTGTCATTTTAAATGCTTAGCCTTGGTCATTATTGTCTCTGTTAAAGGGACAAATTTGGAAAATCGTTAAGTGAATCGACCAATCGGAATTCTATAATGACATGTATATTGGTTCCAGTTTATTTGGTTCGCCAGGGCTACCTGTAGATGTAATCAATCACCTTGTAATTCGGCAGCCATTGGCAGTCGGGGAACTAAGATGTCACATGGACCTGTAAATATAGACAGAGAGTTCTTATGTTAGGTGTAAACAAGACTGTTTGACATTTCTGATGTCCTCTCCAACACAGGATTGAAATTAAAGAAGAATATAAAATGTTGCTGTGTAATTTATGGTCTGTGTTGAAACTTCCTGAAATGATTTAAAATTTGTATGTCATGACTTGATTGTTATTTTAATACTTGACATGTAGGAGTATTTTATTGGTCAACTTCACCAAAAATTGTAACAGAAATAATTGTCTGATTTGTAGTAGATTAACTATGTAACCCTCAATAAGGTATTGTCAATAATTACTGATTTTAATTAATATTTCATGTGAAGAAATATTTTTTATTGAAAAAGTATTAATTTTTTTTTACTAACTTAAATAATTAAAGGCCTAATTTGTTTTTTAACTTAAATATAAGTTTTGTTTATTGATTCCAATAATATTTTATTTCCATAATTATCAATTGCCACTCAATACTTGCCATGATCGTTGCGTTACGTACTTTATGAAGAGCTCTGTGACTTTCATTTGAAGGTTGTTGAAGTGCGAACATTAATTTTCATTTTGAAGTGGGAGGAAATAATTCCACTTAATTAAAGTCAGGTGTGTTTCATAAAAATTTTACAACTTTATTGTAATAGTATATTGGCCCATTTATACATTCAGCAACAAAACTTAAATTTACTTTTCAGTGGGACTTTCTGAGAATGTTTTTTTAACTGATGTTAAAGTTTAATTCTATGAATTGAAATCCTGATTTGCTGTAGAAACCCAGCCAGTTTCTGTTCATTTGTAAAATTCCCTTGGAGAGAATGCACTAAATGATTTCATTTACATGTAAATGAGGCTTGTTAAATGATAATGATGTGTCAGAATTATGGGACAGTCTTGTTATAGAAACAATTATCATCAGGACTGAGTGAAGGTTTTATCCCGTCCTATCTTATTAGTCTAGCTCCAGGGTTACTGAGGGTGTTGTTTTATAATCCTGAAAGGCAGAAAAATTGTTTGGGGAAAATTTTGTTTTGAAAATCTGTCTTTAGGTGTTGAAACATGTGATCCATGGCATTTTTTCCCCAATTTTATTTGTCAAATGATTTTTAGAAAAGGTACACTGTACTCTGTGATGACAAAATATTTCCGTTTGTATTTGTTTTCTTTGTGATAGCTCTTTCCAATTTTATTTCACAGTGAAATGGAAATATAAGAAATTACTGTCTAGTTAGTAGAGTATGCCAGGGACATCAATGCTAGTTGGAAACGGGGGATAATTTATGCACAACGAGCATAGCCCATTATGCATATTATCCCATGTTTCCAACTATCGTTGATGCCCTGGCATACTCTACTAACTATACAGGGATTCCTTAAATAGCTTTGTACAGTTTTAAAAATCGTTAATACTGAAAAGCCATAATAAAGATGACAGATTTATTTTTTTCTTTATTCAATATTGGTAACATTCAATAACATTTATCTTCACTTATTTAAAATCAGGATTTTAATTCGTTCTTTTCAAAACATTTAGATTTAAAAATGATTTAATTTCCCATTTGTCACAGCACATCTTATTTGAAAAGGCCAATTTCTGACGTTCACTGTTTTATGAAAATAATTTACTTCTGGTTGTAATACGCCATTTGATTGGATGAAAAAAAAAAACAACTTTAAATCGTATAAAGTGATTTGTCTACGTTATAGTGGTCTTCTTGGAAGTCCGTCCTGTGAATCAGGAGCATCCCGCTTATAAAAATCGGTAAATGTGACGGTATTTACATCGTTATAACAAACTTAGAATATCTAGCTTCACTGTTTATATACTGTAAACTTTCGCAACCAAGTTTATACCATATTGATTTAAATTTTCATAGTTTATTCCTAAGGTAGTATAAGAATACCAGTAACCTTTATCATACGATAGCTGTTTGACTTTTTCAATCTGTTTCATTTCCTGTTGCCGTACCAGAATTTCCTGGAAATATAAGCACTTGCAGCTTTGACTTTTTAATTCACCTTTTGTATAAAAAAAGTGATATAAAAATGATTGTATTCTTTAAATGCACACGAATTAAAATGAAGGTTGGAAATTTTAAGCTTATTTATTGGTTATTGTGCAATAAGTAGGTCGCGACTTAGATTTATGAGATTCTTATTCTTTGAGGGCAATACCGATAAACTAAAAGACCTTTTTGAAGATATACTGTCATTGATGCCTGAACTATAATTAAGACAAAAAGGGCACATATTTCATGGAGACAGATAATTGAGTGCTCTATTTAGCCTCCAAAGGCTTACTTACACGACATTAGTATTCTGTATATAACCTTGACCTGCATTGGAGTTCTCCACATTTGTCACAGTATGACGGAGTAATTCTAGGAAAATCCATGAATTCCAACTTCAAAGGATGAATATTCATATCTTTGTCAAAGAGTTTCCCCCAGTCAAAAGTTAATGACAAAGTGTTGAAGCGTAATGTGTACTTGTATACAATTTGATTTAGGACCAAAGTTTATTAACTAATAATTAAAGCTGGAATCAGAATGAGATAGATTTATATCGACATTTAAAACTCATTAAAACAATGGTTTAGAGACTGATCTTGTTTTGTTTTGTTTTTTTTTTTCAGGATGAAGAAGGAAAGAGAGAAGTTTAGAAATGCCGTGGATTCGGAACTAAAAAAAGATGATGACGTCGATCTGCAGTCCTTTATATACAAAGACGTTCCTATTACAAACACAAACCCCTCATAACTAGACGTTTTAACAAATGTTCTACACTGACAATCTTGTGATATTTTATTATGATATTAATGACAATTTTAGTAAAGTGAAGTTGACTGAATGTTATGTGTACTAGTATTTGGTGATGACAATTTTAATAAAACTGTTTTTATTTTATTGCTTTTTTGTTGAATTAAGTTGATTGTGTGTGACTTAACAAAGACAAATAGCTTTGAGTTTCAAAAGCATCTTTAAAAATAATAATAATAAAAGTAATTTTAATCATTTGATTAGCAAAACCTGTATATTAAATCATCTTAAATCAGCATATAAACTAGACAATCTCACAACATTGGCAAATTTTGATTAGTTGAAACTGTTGATTTACATAATATTTCCATTTCTAATTTTTTTCTCTGTGATAACTGTTTGAAAGTTGGAGGAATTTATTTCTTGATAATTCTGCCGGAATGTAAATTAGGCAGGTCGATAGGTCAGCAGCTAAGGAGGCCTAATACGCATGCAAATCTCGTGCGCATCTGTCTTTGTGTCTGACGCTAAGGAGGCCAAATATGCATGAAAATCTCGTGCGGCTGCCTTTGTGTTTGACGTCAGTGTGCGAGGACTATTGAAATTGGCATGGAAGTCCTCATGTAATTTAAATCTATTTGACTAAATTTTTAATGTCTAAGTCTACAATTTTATTTCACAATGAAATGGAAATATAAGGAATCACTGTCTAGTTTTGAGAGTATGCCAGGGACATCAACAATAGTGGGAAACATGGGATAATTTTAGCATAACGGGCTTCGCCCGTTATGCAAATTATCCCATGTTTCCCACTATTGTTGATGCCCTGGCATACTCTCAAAACTAGACAGTGATTCCTTAATTCAGGCAAGAGTTGATCAGTTGAAACTATTGATTTAATTATTTAGAAAAGTGTTGATCAGTTGAAACTATTGATTTACACTTTAAGGAAACTATTGATTTACACTTTTAGGCAAGTGTTGATTAATTGAAACTATTGACTTACACTTTTAGGCAAGAGTTGATCAGTTGAAACTATTGATTTACACTTTTAAGCAAGTGTTGATCAGCTGAAACTATTGATTTACATTTCAGGCAAGTGTTGATCAATTGAAACTATTGATTTACAAATTCAGACAAGTGTTCATCAGTTGAAACTATTGATTTACATTTTCAGGCAAGAGTTGATCTGTTGAAACTATTGATTTACACATCTAGGCAAGTATTAATCACTGAAAACTACTGATTTACGCATTTTGGCGAGTGTTGAATTAGTGACACTCTGAGGCACATTTTAAACAAATATCTTTTTTTTTTAAGTTCTGCTTTGTATTCTTGTTGTTGTTTTGTTTTTTGTTTTTGGTTTTGTTTTGCTTTGTTTTTTCATCCTCAACTGTACAGCTCCGCGCACTTTTAAAACTCACATGGTTTATCGCACAAATTAAAGTAATATGAGCTGCATGTTTTACATCGGAAAAAATGTTGCAAATTTGTAATTAACTATTTCAATGACAGAAAAATAGAACATTTATTAATTTCTGTTGTTCATATTTGCTATGGAAGAACTTTTTATAACTTTGATTGAAGCAAAGTTGAATTATTGTCGTCCAGTACAATAATGATTTCTTATAAAATACTGTTTATTCGGTTAAACAGAAATATTTCTTCTGAAACATTTTTAAACTTTATTTTGGTCTTATTGATCATAAGGGTTTAGATTACGTACAGATTAATCATAATAACACATTTTACCAGCAAAATAAAATTCTCAAAAATGCAGCTCATATTGCTTTAACGTCACGTCGTTACAGTAAGTAAGTAATCATTTATTATAGTGACATTGTGCATATAGACATTTCAATAAACATTATAAACAAAATACGTCAGACTGAATTTGCACCCGGCCCATTGGACCTATAAGTCACTTTTTCCATTAATTACATTTATATAAATTTACACATGCAGAAGATTCTTTCTATGGTTAAATGCTGTATGGACAAATTTGGCTAATTTTATCTGGTAATTTTGGTTTAAAATTTTAAACAAATAATCATTATCAATACTATTTGGGTGCTCCTTGTACACATTATCAAAATATTTTTTCCTAACAATATTACAATTTACAGCCCAATAAGAAATGTTTTTCGTCTTCAACAGAGGAACTAGAACAGAAAACACAAGTTCTTTCACTTAGGGGTTCATTTTTATATCGACCGGTTTCGATGCGTAAGGGAAGCACTCCACATCTGAACTGTGCCAAGGTTGACCTTTCTATTTTTGAAATATTAGATATTAGATTACAATAAGAAATTGTGTAACAATTAAGACAACATAATATATTTCAAAAGTGATTGTGAAGCTTTTTAAAACATACCGATAATTTATGCATCATAATTGGTAGGATATGCTCTTGACTGATAGATAATAACAGTTTTGTAATGATTTTTCACGGCTTTTTGTCAATTACAGCCTTTTTTTGTATCCGTTCTTTTGAAAGCAGTCATTTGATTTGCCTAAATACAGAAACAGTACAGCTCACTTAACTTTTGTATTTTCTGTACATTACCATGGCCCTAAAGTGCAAGATAACAGTATTCTTCATTAGTTCGACTATTTTCCATGTTATATTTTGGATTTATACAGAGACACTTTCTGAAATCTAGCATCTTGAAAAAAATGTCCCATAGCATAGTAAAAGAATATTCCTATTCAGTAATATGGTATAATTTACTTTTTAAAAAGATAAACAATACTTTATTATCCCATGTTTTGGCATGATTTCTTCAGGCAGCAATGCCTTTTTCGGCTCCACATATAACCGAAAGACGAGTACAGTATAAATGAGCAAAATATGTAGAAAAGAAATCATCTTTAAGATGCAAATTTGAAAATTTCAATAAATAGCATCAAAAACAGCTTGTTTATTTCGATTTGTAAATACCTATGGTAAAATCATAGAGATGCAACACCATACCATTTATCAGTAAAGTTCCATTAAAAAGCTGACCTTGAAAACTTGAGATAATGATTTTAAAGAACATATGTACCTTTGAAATGAGATATTTAATACATATAAGGGTTATCAACACATTTAGTTAAGCTTTGCTAAGTAAATACTGTTTGTTTTAATTATCATACATGTAAACATGATGTTTTAATTATCATACATGTAAACATGATAATTATTACATTTAAAAACCAGAAGTCTCTGTCGAGACTGAAGCTCTACTGGTTTGTACTTATAGCAAAGGAAGAGAAAAGTACTTAAGCAGTTGGGAATTGAAACTTTACAACAGCAATAAATAGAATAATGATCCTTGATTAAGTCTCTTTATGTTCTTAGTGTAGTCTACTTGCATGCCACATTATATTATAATCAGACTAAAACTGTATTTCGGATAGCACTTTTGGAGTATTTAACAGAAATTTCTATTTTTAGTAGCCACGGCAACACTCTTCATCGTAATCAAAAACCGATACACAGAATTATGTATCTTAGTGTAGTCTACTTGTGTGCCAAGTTATATTGAAATCAGACCAAAACTGTAAGAGACGTAGCATTTTGAAAGAATTTCACATAAATTTCTATTTTTAGTAACCACAGCAACATCGTTTAAGAAAATCAAAAACCGATATACAGAATTATGTATCTTAGTGTAGTCTACTTGTGTGCCAAGTTATATTGAAATCAGACCAAAACTGTAGGAGGAGTAGCATTTTGAAACAATTTCACAGAAATTTCTATTTTTAGTAACCACGGCAACACCGGTCACCGAAATCAAAAACCGATATACAGAATTATGTATCTTAGTGTAGTCTACTTGTGTGCCAAGGTATATTGAAATAAGACCAAAACTGTAGGAGGAGTAGCATTTTGAAAGAATTTCACAGAAATTTCTATTTTAGTAACCATGGCAACACCGTTCACCGAAATCAAAAACCGATACACAGAATTATGTATCTTAGTGTAGTCTACTTGTGTGCCAAGTTATATTGAAATCAGACCAAAACTGGAGGAGGAGTAGCATTTTGAAACAATTTCACAGAAATTTCTATTTTTAGTAACCATGGCAACACCGTTCACCGAAATCAAAAACCGATATACAGAATTATGTATCTTAGTGTAGTCTACTTGTGTGCCAAGGTATATTGAAATCAGACCAAAACTGTAAGAGACGTAGCATTTTGAAAGAATTTCACATAAATTTCTATTTTTAGTAACCACAGCAACATCGTTTAAGAAAATCAAAAACCGATATACAAAATTATGTATCTTAGTGTAGTCTACTTGTGTGCCAAGTTATATTGAAATCAGACCAAAACTGTAGGAGGAGTAGCATTTTGAAAAATTGTTTACAGACAGACAGACGGACGGACGCCGGACGCATTACTATCGCATATCTGACCAGTAGAGCTAAAAACTGATGTAGACAGACGATATAACTTTTCCCTGATATTTTTTGAATTTATTCAAGAAAAAAATTAAGAAATCGGATCTTGTAATTCTCTTCAATGCATTTTTATTAAAAGCAAAAATGTCGTGTGGAAAAGCGATTTTTTTTTTTGAAATTTAAACTAACCACAGTTAAAGGAACATGGACACAATTTTAGCTAAAAATTTTTAATTTATTTTCCTATTTTTTAATGTTTACAAATATTTAACTATGGTATTTTTCTAATTATTATTTTAAAAAATGAATTTCAGTTGTCGAGATGTAAAGACAGATTTAAAGCTCCAAACATTTGTTATATGAACAGGGCCCGTGACATCGATGTTTTTGTTTACAAAGGTTTTACGTTTAATCAAAGCATTTTTTCCCCAAAGAAATTAATTATAAATACGATTAAACAGTTTTATAGTAATTTGCTGAATAGTCTTTTGTTACAACTACATGTATGCTATTTCAATATGTAAACAAAAACAAGGCACAGACCCTGTTTATACACATGTATTATGTATAATTTTAAGTTCTGCATCTCCTTTGTAAATCAACAAAGGATGTGCAAATGTTTGCTGATCATTAGAATTGCCTTAGTTAGTAATTGTAAAATTGAAAAGTTGAAACTGTGTCCATGTCCCTTTAAAAGACCGGATGAACTTTTCTAATCTCCTTTGTCCAACGTCTGTCTGTGAAATTTTTATTAAT